CATTTACCTGCCTCTGTATCTTTGTAGTGTTCCCCCATGTTCTTTCCTCCTTTCCAAACCTGCACAAATACCTTTTTCAAAGCACAATTCAAATCCTACATTGAAGTGATTCCACCCTCCTCAGAGCTCCCAAGAGCACTGTCTCAATTATTCTGATATTTACTTGCTGTCCTGTGCTATTACTTACTTCAAATAAACTATGTTCCTGGGGGCATGGAATAATTTACAGTTCTCTCTACCAATGGATCTAGCATATAACAAGGGTTAAATAAAAATGAAGACATATGTGTATATGTATGTAGTATACATATGTATACACACACGCACTTTTTTTCTAAACTAGCTATTGCCCTCGCTGGTTTGGCTCAATGGATAGAGCATCGGCCTGCAGACTGAAGGCTCCCGGGTTGGATTCCAGTCAAGGGCACATGCCTGGGTTGCAGGCTCTATCCCCAGTAGGGGGTGTGCAGGAGGTAGCCAATCAATGATTCCTTCTCATCATTGAAGTTTCTATCTCTCTCTCCCTCTCTCTCCCTCTCTGAAATCAATAAAAATATTTTTTAAAAATACATAAATAAACTAGCTATTAACTGAAGCAAATATGATTTCACCCTTACCTTATATCAGTAACTGTACACTTTAACTCCACAGATGCAATGTGAATGCCATAGGAACCACAGAATGACAATCCCCAAGTATATTACTCTCCTATTACACATTTTTAGGGCTAGTTTATTAGGGAAACAAAAAAAATACAAGTAGAATTTTTCCAATGGTCAATGTTATCATTATAGATATACTGGGATAATATTAAATATAGAACTCACTAGATCAAGTCAAAGTTTACTTACCTACATTTTCATTTATTTTTTAAAATGCAAAGATTTTACAACTAAATTGCTTTAAATTCCCCCCTAAATTATTACTCAAATTTAAAGTCACATATACATGTATACATACATGTACAAAAGCCACATAGAGTCTGAATTTTTTAAAATAAAGTTGTCTGTGACAATTCACATTACCAAAATGGCATTATTGATTTCATTCAGAATTTAGGAAAGGTAAAATATTTTAAATTTTTTAGAAAATACTCCATTTTGGATTACTATTGATAAATAGCTATAATCACAGGCTGTTTTGAGCTGGATTAACGGATTCTTCCTCTACTTGTGATTACTGAAGTCTTTTTCAAGTTCAAAGTGTGAACTGTGCCTTATTTTACTACACAAAGAATGTCCAAGAAGCTATAACAATTCCTCCAGAATCATTTGCCCACATTCCAATGCCAAGTACAGAAAACGTTTAAAACATTTATAGAAAGTATAAAAAACAAAACCAAAAAAAATTAACCAAAAGATGGCTATGAAAGTGAATACTGAGACTTTTTACTCTTCAAAACACATTGAAGAAAGCTTATAAATTTACAACCCTGAAAAGACTATTATCCATTGATAAATTTACTATTAATAATTCACTCACTGGAGAACAAACCCAGGAACCAGGGACTCCCATTCATCAATTTTGTTCTGTCGCTGGCTTAGTAGAGTTTTGGGCACATCCCCATATGGTGAACAAGAAAAGCTTAACTGACATTCTAAGGTTGTAAGAATTGATTAAATGTTTATGAAGTACTCGAGGACCAAGAAGGAGAGCCACTGTAACCATTAAATGTAATTTAGTTAAAACTGTAGCTAAGAGTTAGGCTTGCAAATCCAATCATAAAATTCTTTTGTGTCTTCTTAACACAGCAAATCTCCAGTGAGTCAGTTTAGTGTGTGTATTTAATGAGCTGGTTTAGCAACCTCAGAGGAATGAATTTTCTTCCAAATCTTTGTTTTCTCACAAACTCTGTCACTATCCAACCCACCGTTGCAAAGGGAGACATGATCCGATTCAATGTTAGGTCTATCTCGGAGGGAAGGGGGGGAACAACCAAAGACCTTGGATACATATATGCATAACCCATGGACGCCGACCGTAGGTGGGGTGGTGGGGGCCTGGGGCGGGTGGGGGGGGGAGGCAAAAAAGGGGACATATATAATACTTCCAACAATAAAGTTTTTTTAAAAAGTTAGACCTAGTTATTGATAAGCCACTACCAAATGGCTAAAATCTATTAGAAATCACAGTAGAACTTTGTTAACTTACCAGAAATGTGAAGCCTAAAAGTAATCCCAGAAAGCAATCATCCCAAGAAGAGCTTTATTAAAGGGAAAGTCCCTACACTTTTTTAAAGAGCTGGAAAGTGTTTTAGACAATGCGGCCATCAGACTGAATTCGCTCAAACCTCATCTAATTCGCTCGGCAGCGCCGGCACCTGCTCGCTGGGAGCGACTGGAGACCGGGAGGCCCTCTCCAGCGGCCCTTCCTGGGTGACAGGAACAATGCGAACTGACAAAGGACGGGAGGCCCCCGCGCCGCGATGCTGCCCCCCATCAGAGGGTACCAGCCCCAGCAAAGCACTCCTCGCCCGAGCTCACGCGAGGCCGCCTCTCCGGTTTGGCGACGTGGGAAAGTGCACCCTGCGCTCCGTTCCGGACGGCGGAGCACCCGGCGCGGAGGGGAGGCTGCCCCTGAGCGGCCGCGGCAGGGACACTTCCTCTCCGCGCCGGCGAGCGGACCGGTGCGCACGGAGGCTCCCGGGTCTGGAGCGCCGGCGGGGAGGCCGGAGGGTCGCCGGCTCCGGGCGCAGGAAGCGGGGCTGGGGCGCCGGCACACCGTGCTCCCGGGAGCCGAGGGGAGACGGGAAGCTCGGGTCCGGGAGCACGTTCCTTCCTCGAGCCCGGTCCCGAGGGGCGGCGCGGGCGGCCGGGGCAACTCTCCCTCTCGCCAAACTCCGGGGTGAGCGCGAGGGCGGCCAGCCGGGCTCCCGGCGGGGTGGCGCCCGGTGGGGGAGGCGGCGAGGCCGGCCCGGTCCGCTCCCTGCCCACGCGGTCCGCGCCGAGGCCGTCCGCGCCGGTCCCTCCCGCCGCGCGGGGCAGGGCCGCCGACCTCGGCCGCGGGCGCGGGGCCAGGCGGCGGCGGCGGGCGGCCGGGGCCCTACCTGAGGCTGTGTACCAGCTCCCGGCGTGGCTGGCTTCCCGGCAGACCACTCGGTTGGACATCTTGGTGCCTGTGCCGCCTATGGTGCACGAGGATGAATGAGGAGGCGGCGGCGGCGGCGGGAGCGGCTCCGCGAGGGGACGAGACGCCGCGGGCCCAGCCCAGGAGGAGGCGGCGGCGGGGAGGGGATCGGCCCGGCCCAGGAGGAGGAGGAAGAGGAGGCGGCGGCGGCCCGGGAGGAGGAGATGGCAGCCGGGGCGGTGGCAGCCACAATCAGCACGAACTCCGGCGACCGCCGGAAGATGGGGCCCGAGGCGGCCTCACCGACGCCCGGAGAGCCCTGGGCCGGCCCCGGAGTCGCCGCTGCTGCCCGGCCGGGGCTGGTCCTCGCCGCGCCGCCCCCGCGGCCCCCTCACCTCCCGGTTGGCCTCCCGGAGCCACCGCGGTGACCCCACCCCCGTGACTCCGCACCGCCCCCACCCCCCACCCCCGCGGGACTCCCAGCACCCACCCCCACCCCCACCCGGGCCGGGCCCTCCCGCCCCGCCGGCCGCCGGCCCCGCCCCGCCCCTCCTCCGGCCGCGCGGCGAGGTTAAAGGCGGAAACCGGCCAGGCCAGACGGCATCTGGGGTCAGGCGGCCCCGCGAGGAGGCCGCGGAGGCTGCGGCTCCGCGCACACAAAGCCCAGGCCGGGCCTGGACCGGGCGGGCGGACCGCAGGAGAGCCAGCGCTTCCTTACTCGCTGCTCTAACGGGTGCTGCCCACTGAGCATGCCCAGCTCCGCGGCCAGGCCCGCCGGGGACTCGCAACGTGCGCGCTCCGCTCTCCGGGGTTTCGAGGCAGCAGCGGCGGGGAGGGGCGGGCTCCGGGAGCGGACGCAGCCGCAGGGCAAACCCCCACCCCACCCCCGCCAATTCCTTAAAAGAGCGCCACCGGGGGTAGCCAGATGGTGCTTTCCACCTGCGAAGTCCAGCTCGCACCTCCCTCCCCGCATCAAACACAGGAATCCTCAGGAATTCGCACCCCCGAGGTTTACTACTAGAGCCGCAAGTCTAGCCACGCTGGGACGTTCATTTGTACAGGTACACGGGAGGATGCCTGAGGTCCTGCAAACGCTGGTTTTTGCTTCACAGGGCCACCCTTACCAGCCAGTCTTGGCTTTGACACTGTAAACATGTCTTGTTTCATGTTATATTTATGTAGGTACGTGTCTTAACTCCCTAACTAGCTAAAGTGTGGTATAGTTATCCTCATCTATAAAATGGGGATAATATTCGGCTGTCCCCAGGATTGAGTTAATAAACATAGAGCATGGCATAGTAGGCAAACAGCAAACATTATTTCCAACCCTCCAGACTTTTATCAACCCCAGTATTTCATGTCAGGGTCAAGTGCAAAGAATTCCTTTAAAATTATGGAAGAATCACGATCACGGCAAAGTAAGGTATCTTGGACTTCCCAGTAAGTGTTGTAATGAAGTAAACCATTCCAAAATTGGTAAGACAGAAAGTTGATTATCTTCAATGAAAAATTTGTGGTGAAAAACCGTAACATTGTTACATCAGAATGTCACAGTGACCAGATCTTTGGTATAGTTCAAAGCAGACAACGGGCTGACACATAAAATTTTTGAAGCCCTGGCGGTGTGGCTCAGTTGGTTGGGTGTCATCCCAGTTCAATTCCTGGGCAGCGCACATGCCTGGATTTCTGGCTCAATCCCCCAGTTGGGCATGTGCAGGAGAAGGCCTATTGATGTTCTACTCTCACATAGATTTTTCTCTCTTTCCCTCTCCCTTCCTCTCATACAGGTCAAAGTGAGCAGGCCCCCTACCCAAAAAAAGGACTGGCTGGTTTCTTATTGTAAAAAGAAGCAATGAAGTAGAACAAATACTTCTCACTCAGCTATAAGCAACATATTGGTAAAAGTGGGTTTCAATGCCCATTCAAGCACTTACCAGTGTGGTCTTCAGCAAGTCACTTATCCTCTCCAAATCTGTTTCCTCATCTGCAAAACGGGAATAACAATATCTACTTTGCAGAGCTGCTATATTAGAAATAATTTAAGTAAAATAGCACTGCAACTGACACGTAGAATTGCAATGATAGCTATTATTACCATAAAGGTTGATAGCAAGGGAGGATATTATACACCCTCTGCAGTACTTATACCAGTAACCCAACTTTATTGTGCATTAGAATCATCTATTATAGTTGTTGAAAACTGTAGATACCCAGATTCCACCCTCCATGAGGTACAGGGAAAATGCAGAAAAAAACTGAGTTTTTTAATATTATATTAGATTCTGATGTATTTTCATGCTGGTGTAAAAAACTGCAGCGTTCTACGATAAAAAAAAATGTCATAAAAGTTATGGAACCACGTAAATTATTTAGCATATAGAACAAAAACTACTTTACAGTAATGACATTTAACAGTTTATTTTGAAGGTCATTTTAAAAACAAAGTTAAAGACAATCTGAGAAAAAATTGCACATAATACACTCTTTAAATATAAGTATGGTGATTAAATCAAAATAAGGGAAATATGTTTTCTTCTGCAACTCCAAGAACAAGTTGTTGTCCTGAAGGTTCTTATACTTCCAAAAAGGGGTGGGGGGAAATCATGGCAATTAAAGCTGCCTCTTAATCATGTAAATCTATAGTAGAAAGCAAATTTTTCTGTTCTTCCCAATCAGTTTCGATCTTCAAACTGTGCCTTGTTTTTTAAAAGATATGATGCTAGAAATTCAATGGGATTTGGTGGTCTGTAAAGGAAAAGAAATCCAAAATTTAGAAATTTGTATTCTAGATGTGTTCATTGAAATAAATTGTTCCATAATAAAAATACATCTTTTAAATTTTAGCTTTCTTTTTACACTCAAAGGCCATTTGTAGTAAATACAGGATGTCCCCAAAAAATGTATACATACTTTTTTGATAGCTCAATTGATGTTTCTTCCTGTTCTGGTTTAACCCATCGGAATTAATAATTATTCAAAGTGTGTATACATTTTGGGGGGACATCCTGTATAGTAAATGAGACAGGGAAGCAGATTAGTCAACAATGTAGTTTAAAGAAATTGAAATTTTTGTACAGCTGAAATCTACTTATGAACTCAATTCTAAAACACAAGTTTGGAAAATGTACTCGCAATGGGATGATAACTATCCCAGGGGAATAATGACTTGAGGGGACACAAGGGAGACTGCTGGAGTGCCAGCAGTGTTCCCTTTCTTGATCTGAATGCAGGTTACATAATTATGCTTAGTGTCAGAAAATTCAGCAAGCAGTACACTTATGATATTCTTAATTTTCTGTATGAATATTAACCTTCAATAAGAATACAAAAACTACATAGGAAAATGGCTGTAGCATCACCAAGACAGGTAGATGCACTCTCTAAGTGATTAATCAAAGGAAGTAGTATTCATTTGAACAAGTTTTGTTTCTTTTTAAAAAGCAATTTCTATTTTTCTTAAAATAATTTAAATCAATAATAGTTCTAATACTGCCACCATACAACACACCTGATAAGTTAAACATATTTTAAAGTTAATGGGTATTATTTCACATTTATCACTTTTATATAAATAATTCTTGCTGAGAAAACAAGTCCAAAGATGAAAATGGGGTAAACACCTATTTAAACCCTACTAGCAAAAGGCATACTGAGAATATTTAATAATGATCTCAAAATATTCCCTTAGCACTTTAAACTATCTTTTAACTAGCTAGACATAGACAACATTTTTCAAGATTAATTTGATAAATCAATTTGCCAGACTTCTTACTTAAAAATTGTATTTACTAATAGCATATTACTTAGGACTGCTTCAAATTTTTTCTTCTAGCTTATAAATATTTAGAATTTCTAATTATTCTTTAGAGAAAGAAAAAAATAAAAGATGTCCATACTTCAACTGTCAGTAGAGAGCCAGAAATAAATCACATATGCCCTAGCCAGTTTGGCTCAGTGGATAGAGCGTCAGCCTGTGGACTGAAGGGTCCCAGGCTCAAATCCGGTCAAGGGCACATGCCTGGGTTGCAGGCTCAATCCCAAGTGGGGGGCATGCAGGAGGCAGCCGATCAATGATTCTCTCTCATCACTGATGTTTCTATCTCTCTCTCTCCCTCTCCCTTTCTCTCTGAAATCAATAAAAATATTAAGATGTTTTAAAAAATAAAAAATCACATTTTATAAATGTAACAATCTAAAGCAAATATTTAATGTTTACTATATAATTTATATAAACATGCCCGGCTGGAGTGGCTCAGTGGTTGAGCGTCAACCCATGAACCAGGAGATCACTGTTCAATTCCCAGTCAGGGTACATGCCCGGATTGCAGGGGTGTGCAGGAGGCAGCTGATCAATGAGTCTCTCATCTTTTTTTTTCTTCTTCAATATATTGTTATTGATTTCAGAGAGGAAGGGGGGGAGGGAGAGAGGGAGAGAGAGAGAGAGAAACATCAATGATGAGCTCTCTTGATAAGAAAACATCAAGTTCCTTATCAGATTATATCAGTTTGGCCTTAACTGGTTTGGCTCAGTGGATAGAGCGGCGGCCTGCGGACTGATGGGTCCCAGGTTCGATTCTAGTTAAGGGCATGTATCTTGGTTGCAGGCACATCCCCAGTAGAGGTGTGCAGGAGGCAGCTGATAGATGTTTCTCTCTCACCGATGTTTCTAACTCTCTATCCCTCTCCCTTCCTCTCTGTAAAAAATCAATAAAATATATTTTTAAGAAAATTATATCAGTTTGCCAGTATTCATTTTGGTTGTTGTTAATAGTCACCCAAGGATATTTTTTCAATTGATTTTTAGAGAGTGTGGAAGGGGAGGGAGAGAGACAGAGAAAGAGAAACATCGATGTGAGACCAGCTAGGGCTAGTATTCATTATTATTCTTTGAGTAAAACATAGTCTGCACCAAATAAATGATGACTAATGTAACTTAAAAAAAATATATTTTTTATGGGATTTGCTTACATAAAAATAATTTAGGTAGAATTACTGGGGTAAAACCTGTACCAAAAAAAAAAGAAAAATTATAATCTTGTTAATAAAGAAGTTAAAACAATTTGGCAACCCCTGGCCAGGTAGCTCAGCTGGTTAGATATCGTCATGATACACCAAGGTTGCTGGTTTGATCCCCAGTCAGGGTACATACAAGAAGCAACCAATGAGCCCTAACCGGTTTGGCTCAGTGGATACAGCGTCGGCCTGCGGACTGAAAGGTCCCAGGTTCGATTCCGGCCAAGGGCATGTACCTTGGTTGCAGGCACATCCCCAGTAGGAGGTGTACAGGAGGCAGCTGATCGATGTTTCTCTCTCATCAATATTTCTAACTCTCTATCCCTCTCCTTTCCTCTCTGAAAAATCAATAAAATATATTTTTAAAAAAAGCAACCAATGAATACATAAGTGGAACAACAAATCAATTTCTTTCTTTCTTTCTCTCTCTCTCTCTCTCTCTCTTCTCTCACTTCCTCTCTCTCTAAAATCAATTTTTAAAAATTGGCAAAAAATGTTTGTAACACTCATGCTGTTGAGGCTATGATAACAGTGAAACAATTTTAATAAACTTTTGGTCATAGCCAGTTTTGCTCAGTGGGTAGAGCATCAGCCCACGGACTAAAGGATCCCATGTTCGATTCCAGTCAAGGGCACATAACTCAGTTGCTAGCTCAATCCCTGCCCTGGTTGGGGCAGATGTGGGAGGCAACCAATTGATGTGTCTATCTCACATAGATGTTTCTCTCTCTCTGTCTCTTCCCCTTCCTCCCACTCTAAAAAAAGAAAAAAAAAATCAACAGAAAAATATCCTCAGGTAAGGATTAACGCCCCCCCCCCACCACCACCACCAAAAAAATACATTTTTGGTCATAAATATGATACTAAGTATCAAACACCATAAAAAAAATTGTATCCTTTGAACTAGCAAACCAATTCGTGGAAATTTAGCATGTGAAAGTAATTACATAAAAACAAAAGAGGCACCAAACCCCTTTGGCTCAGTGAATAGAGCGTTGGCCTGCAGACTGAAAGGTCCCAGGTTCAATTCCGGTCAAGGGCATATTCCTTGGTTACGGGCACATCCCCAGTAGGAGATGTGCAGGAGGCGGCTGGTGAATGTTTCTCTCTCATCAATGTTTCTAACTCTCTATCCCTCTCCCTTTCTCTCTGTAAAATAATCAATAAAATATATTTAAAAAGAAAGAAAAAGAGGCATAAAAACAGATAAACTGCCTGGTGATCTATAATAACGGAAATTGAACTTACATTTTCAACAATGAGAAAATGGTTAAGTTAACTGTAGTACTAGAACAACTTAAATTATAAGTTCATGAAGTCTATGCATAGATATGAAAAAAACTGTTATAATATTAAGTAAAAAGGAGATATAAAACTGCATGTATACCATAATTACAAGTCTTTATAAATATGCATATGATCAAAGACTTGTAGAAAAAACTTAGTGTCTGAACTGAAATTATGGCTGACTTTTAAAATGTTTTTAATATGCATAAGTTCTTTTTATAGGAAAAAAATTATACATAACTAGTGATACTTCAATTAGAAAAGTCATTCTCTTGATAACTCCTTCTGCTGACACTATTATCTTACCTTTCCTTTGCAAGCACAGCAAGTCCCTGTAATAAGATAGGCACAACTGTCTGATCCAGGTAGGCACGAGTTGGCAAAGACTGTAGATCCACTTTCTGTTTTGATGACTTTTCTGCATTAATCTTCTCATTTTCTACTATCCTCTAGTGAATCCAAAAAATATGCATAATATTACAAATACTCAGATTATTGTGAGTACTAAACAAAAAATAATAGAAACATGATGCTAATAGAAAAGACAAGTCATTGGACTAAAAACTGGTATTGAACTGCAAATCTCTTTGCCAAAATAAAATCAGACCCATCTCTAAATTTCATTCCAGTTTCTTCTGAGAGCACCATAATATCTCTTTCTTTTAATGTCATATCTCCAGATCCACCTCTTTGTCACTTTCCTCTGCCTTTTTAGAAGTAAATACAAGTCCTCCTTTTTTCATGAGGCTACCTTCGTACAGTGTGCTTCAAAAAATCTGGACATGAAACTAAGTAGCACTGAATCACAGTGAGAAAGCTAGTCCTATTTCAACTCTTTCATCACAGATAATATCAAGGACAAAGTTTCAGTTTGGTGCTAATATGTCTTTAACACTTCTGTAACACTTGCTTAACTCTGTTCACAGAGAGAGTAGGCTTTAGGCTCAGAGCCTTCTACTGGCAACAAAATGCAGCTAAAATTTATTACCACTATCCAATGAGAATACTTTTCCATTTATGTTTTTTTTTAAGGTATCTATGATTTTTTTAAAGTGAATAAAGAAAAAAATAGTAAGTAAAAAATAACAATTAAAAAAACCAGGGAAAAAGAATAATATGGAAAAGATGATTGTGATATTCAAATGTTTAGGAAACAATGATTTAGACTTTCTACTCCTAAGAACCCCCAAATCTGGGGCCTTTCACATAGATTCATCTGACATCCAGAGCATCAAAAACTACTTTAGAGTCCTAGCTGTTTTGGCTCAGTGGATAGCATCGGCCTGCAGACAGAAGGGTCTCGGGTTCCATTCCCGTCAAGGGCACGCACATGCCTGAGTTGCAGGCTCCATTCCCAGTAGGGGGCGTGCAGGAGGCAGCCAATCAATGATTCTCTCTTATCACTAATGTTTCTCTCTCCCTTCTCCTCTGAAATCAATAAAAATATTTTTTTTTTTAAAAAACTACTTTAGTGAAAAATTTTCCCTCCTTTTGAAAAATTACCGTTTTAGAAATTCACAAATAAATGGCTATCTAAAATACAAGACATTATTAAGAGCACTTCCATTTAAATGAACTTTTGCTCCAAACTTACTCAAAGTGAATATAAATGAATCAACCACAAAAAAACACTTTTCTATATTTAATATATTTAGGTTTAATTTTATTTCGTAAAGAGTGAGAAAAAACTTTAATCGCATATCTACATAATATATACCACTGTTTCCAAAGATAGTTCCCACAAATTTGTAAGGCAGCTAGCTATTCTAATTTTGCTTATGATTTTTCAATGTAATTTTAGGACTTAATAAGAAATTTTCCTATACCTAGTAAAAGAGCTATTTATTTGCCCATAGATTACTTAGTGCCCATCAGTAAATTTCAACAGATAATACCTATATACGACAAAAATTAGTCAGTTACATGACATCCCAATGCCTTCAATAAGAAACAGCAATGCCTAACCAATTCCTATAAATACTATAATAAACTCCTTAACCAAGTCCTCTCATTTAAATCAATCAAATATTTACTGAATTTTCACTATGTGCCAAATTTCTATGCTTAACTTTAGTTAAGATAAAATCCTGAGCTGATCTAAAAAAAAAACTACCTCCAAACTACTATAAAACATAAATAATAAACTGTTAACAATTTAGAATAGTGATCGAAAAAAAGGAAAAAAATAAGGTGAGCCTATGATTGCCCCAACTTACTGTTTCCTGCCTGGAGAACTTGTAAGATGCAATACAGGAAATCAAAGGGAATCAAAGCAGAACCCACAGTCTCCCTGGGTTGAGAAGAGTTGAAAATTCAAGGAGACAAAGCCGTCTAGAATTCACATGGGAAGGAGAAAGTTGCACAGGAAAACACCTAAAGGTGAGTACCTATCAGAGCATGGGTGTGAGGAAACTACTGGAGGCCAAGGGAAAAAACGCGTGGAAGGAGCACTCACACAAGCCAGGAATACTCCATGTTTCTGTGACCTAGACTGGCAAAACCTCTTAACAGATGAAGCACTGGGTAGAATATGAAAGAAGAGGAAATGAAGCCTAAACTAAAGGCTGGTCTGGTGTTACTTAGGAAAGAGCAAACCTCAAAAAGATCAAATTGTTTCCAAGTAACCATGTCCTAGGAAAAAGCTCAAGAATGTTTGAAGGAATAAAAAGATAACCGATACCAATAAAGTAAAATTCATAACACTCAGCTTCCAATAAAAATTTGCCAGGTGGGCTCAAACTATGGAACCAGGAGGTGACAGTTAGATTCCTGGTACCAGTCAGGGCACATGCCCTGGTTGCAGGCTCAATCCCTGGTCCGGGGACATGCAGGAGGCAGCCAATCCATGTTTTTCTTTCTCTCTCTCTCTCTCTCTCTCTCTCTCTCTCTCTCTCTCCCCCCCTTCCTCTCTCTCTAAAATCAATAAATATATCCTCAGATGAGGATTAATAAAAAGAAATTGTAAGGCAGCAAAGCAGAAAAATATTACCCATAATGAGGAGAAAAATCAACTCACAGACTCAGAAATGATACAAATGATAAAATAAGCAATGCCATTAAACAAGTTATAAGATATCGCTTCCATGTGTTCAAGAATATAGAGGAAAGCACAAGTTAAACAAAATACTTGAAAATAATTTGAATAATAGCTGGAATTGTTTTAAAATTTCATGAAAACTCTAAATACACAGATCCAAAAAACTCAGTAAATCCTAAGCACAAGAAACAAAAAATTTAAAAAAAAAGAAACAAAATTTTTTTGAAAGTACACCAAGAAACAACATAATCAAATTATTTAAAACCTGTTAATAAAATTTTAAAAGCCCCAAGAAAAAAGGCATTAAGTATGAAGGAGCAAAAATAGGAATGATAGCAGACTTCTTGTCAGAAGCAATATCAGCTAGAAGACAGTGGAATAAATCTACTCCCAGCAAAGATATCTAAAAAAATGAAGTCAAAATAAATGACATTTTCACACATTCAGAAACTTAAAGAATTCCTTACCAGCAAACCTGAACTATAAGAAATGTTAAAGGAAACACTTCAGATGGAAGGAAAATGATAACAGACAGAAGTCTGGATCTACACAAAAGAATGAAGAGCTGTCCAAATGGTGTGGTTCGGAGGTTGAGCTTCAATCTATGAACCAGGAGGTCACAGTTCCATCCCGGTTGGATTGGGAGGATGTCTGGGGCGGGGGGCGGGGGGAGATCCATGGTTCTCTCTCATCATTGATGTTTCTATGTCTCTCTCCCTCTCCTGAAATCTGAAATCAATACAAATTATATATATATATATATATAATTTTTTTAATGAAGAGCCCAGAAATGGTAAATGTGCAGGTAAACGTGAAATACTGCTTTTTCTTACTGTTTAAATCTCTCTAAAGATCACTGAATTTTTAAAGAAAAAATAAAAATAATGAAGTGTAGAAGTTATAACATATGTAGAAGTAAAATATATGATAGTAATAGTACAAAGTCCAGGAGAGAGTAAATGAATGAAAGACTGCTGTTGTAAAATTCTTATACTATAAATGAAAATATATACTACCACTTGAAGGTTAACTGTGGTAAGTTAAATTTGCATACTATAAACCCTAAAGCCAACACCTAAAAATAATTTTAACAAACCAATAAAAAGAAAACCATAAGAGAAAAAGCGGCAACAGCAGCTGTAGAATTGTGGTTTCCAGACTTTCATATATTGCAAACAAAGAAATAAACTAATACAATAAATGAAGAAACTAACATAGGGTTAATTCTATTTTGCCAAGTAAAAAAATTACAAACATAATTATTTTACCATCACCATTAGTTCAAAAAAAGAACAAGCAGTTTAAAATTATAGAAGCAGGAAGACCAATCGCCACTTTTTTTTCTCACTTTACCATGGAAACTAGACTGAGGGTTTGGGAAAAAGCATGTTGTTATCACTGCTCTACAGCAACATGGCTCCAGCATCATAAACAAGCACCATCAAGAAAAGCCCACTGATGCCTTAAAAAGGTCTCTTAAATAGCTAGAAAACAAAGTGGTGTAAAGAGTCTTCACCTGATTCAGCAGAAGTTCAACTAAAAACCCATTAGAAAGAAAAGATTCTCTATCCGTATTGATATCAAAGCAATAAAAATGCCTAGCAATTTTATAGGCACAGAGTAGTCATTCCACATGCCAGCAAACTCTAGGAGTTTGGTCAAGATCAGCAACACAATTTATTTTATTTATTTTTTTATATTTTTTTTATTGATTTTTTTACAGAGAGGAAGGGAGAGGGACAGAGAGTCAGAAACATCGATGAGAGAGAAACATCGATCAGCCGCATCCTGCATACCCCCCACTGGGGACGAACCCGAAACCAAGGCACATGCCCCCGACCAGAATCGAACCCGGGACCCCTGAGTCCGCAGGCCCACGCTCCATCCACTGAGCCAAACTGGCTAGGGCAGCAACACAATTTAATTGTACTTTTAAAATGTCAACATGCCTAGGTTTAACGCACAGCTCTCCACTTACCTCTTGGTAACCTTTAACAAGTTACTCAACTTGTGGGTCTTATAGGACTGAGGATATATGCCAATTATTTAGGTTGTGCCTGGCCCAGAGTAAAAGGGCTCAAGAAATATTAGCAGCTGTTACAATTATTATTCTCCTCAGAAATGCTTCTGCCCTCATTTATCCAAACTTAATCACCAGTAATGTCTTTCCTTTCGTAGTAAAACGGACACATCTCCTACAGGAAAGGAAGCCTCTGTTTTCCTGACCAATTCCACCCAGCTCTTGGTAATTCATTTGTTCCAGCACTTACTTATTCATTTACAAAGTAACTTCTACTTTTAGACAACAACCTCTTAGGACTTATATAGAAAACTCTATAAAAGTTACCTTCTTTTTCATGTGTGTTTTTTTTTCACATGTACT